CATGGCATTAGAGCTCACAGTAACCTCCAGCTCTTGGGCTTAGGCAATTCTCTTGCCTCAGCCTCCCGAGTAGCTGTGACTACAGGCGCCCGCCACAACTCCCAGCTATTTTCTTGTTGCAGTTTGGCTGGGGCTGGGTTTGAACCTGCCACCCTCGGTATATGGGGTCGGCCCTCTGCTCACTGAGCCACAGGTGCCGCCCAGGCTGTAGATTTTTTTAAAAGATACTTTCCTGGAAGATGAAAGACCAGAGTAATGCCAAGCAAATGTACCAACAGACTATAACCATAAGAATAAGCTCAAGCAAGATCAGAATAACTGGTCATTCACACTTAAGAATGGTTAGGAATGCTGTTTCATTGTTACTTTAAGCCAAGAGACTGGCCAGGTGCAGTGGCTCTCACCTGTAATCCTAGCACTCTGCGAGGCTGAGGCAAGTAGATTGCTTGAGCTCACAAGTTTGAGACCAGCCTGAGCAAAAGTGAGACCCCCGTCTACTAAAAAAATGGAAAAAAAAATAGAAAAACTGAGGCACCCCCTGCAGCACTCCACTGTGGTACTCTACTACCTGAACATTCACGTTTTATTTATCCAGTCTACTGTTAAAGGGCATTTATTAATGTTTTAATTTAATTAATTTTTATTAAATCATAAACACATAGGTCACCTATACATTAATGCATTTATGGGGTATAATGTGCTGATTTCATATTTGTTCCCAGCTTGGGTGCCTATGACTAAATCTGCTTCTATCCTTTTGTCCTTCTTGGGCAAGCAGTAAGATCGGGCTTGCTGGACCAAGGGTAAGTGTATATTTAGCCCTAGGAGAATCTGAGTTCATAGCATTTTTAACCATTTGCTCCATGTCAGCAAATACAGTTGTTCCTAGTCTCATTTCCCCTGTTGATAGCATATTTACCTAATTTTTTTCTGAGATTCAGTAACTCTATCTGTAGTTTGTAATTTGTGTATCTTCTTTTTTTTTTTTTTAGAGATAGGAATTGCCTTGTGGCCCAGGCTGGAGTGCAGTGGCATCATCATAGCTCACTCAAATACCCGGCTCACGTGATCCTCCTGCCTCAGCCTCCCACCTGTGCCTGGACTACAGGTGTGAGCCACTGAACCTGGCCTTGTTTTAGGCTTTTATTCAGATAGTTTGTGACTATCTGTATAGACTGTATCAACCCAGAGAGAACTGGCTCAAAGAAGTTAAGTTATCCTGTGTGAGAGGGAGTAGCTGATTCAGGTTACAGCTTCACGTCATGGAGGGGTATCTATGCAGGAGAATGGACTTGGGAGGCTACACTAAGCAGGCTGGAATCCTGGGCAAGTAAAGCTGGCAGCTGCTCCTTGGTGAATTCAGACACCACTGGCACACAGGTCCTGGTGAGGGGATCAGCCTCAGGGGCAGGAATCCTAGCCTCTCTCTGGGGCGCTCCATTCTCCACACCCCCACCTGGAGAAGAAAAGTACCAACTTCGCTGGGAACGCCTGGGTTTAATTTGTGGGTGTGTAATCCTTCATGTGTGTCCTCCTCTGTACAGTGAGGGATGGCCCATCCCCCTGTCCTGAGAGGATAGACTCTGACATGATATGGGCCAGGCACACACTGGTCCCTGGGGCGGGGGGGTGGGGGTGGTGCAGCTGAGATGCCATAGGCCGGGCACACACCTGTGGGCAGCTGATGTCCTGGAGGCTTCTGCAGGCCGTGGTACAGGTAGGGCTGACAGCCCCAGGGCCCCGAAGTTGTGCAGTTACTGCCACACAGGTTCACGGGAGGGGCTAGGCCTGCTGCCTGAGTCCCACGGGGCAGCAGCACCCCAGCCTGTCAGCCAGGTGGGGGCTACCTTAGTAGCCACTGAGTCCAGGGGGATACAATGTCCAAGGCACTGTGTCCCCTGAGGTGACTAGGGGCTTACATGGGGAGGTGGAGGAGCGCTGGAGAGCAGTAAGCAGATGTCAGAGAGGCAGCTAAGCAAGAGGTCCAGCCACTGAGGCAGGAGGACTGTGCAGAAGTTGCTGAGAGCTGTGGAATGCTTGGGTGGGATGGCAACTGAGATGTGGCCGCTGGGTTTAGTGCCATGGCAGCACCTGTGGCCTTGCTGAGAGGAGGCAGGTGACCTGTGAGCAGATGTGGGATCATCCTGTCCCATGGGCCCATCCTGAGACCACGTGGAAAATGACCTCTCTTTCCAGGCTGAGACACTAATGAGGTGTGAGTGCTCAGGGGACAGTGCTGGGGGTGAGCAAGGCCTCAACCCACAAAGCAGATGTCAAGGATGGCTTTACACAATGACACAATTAACACCTCTGCAAAATATCTCAGCCTACAAAATCTCCAATATTGTTTTTTGGTTTTGGGTTTTTTTTTTTTTTTTTTTTTTTTGGAGACAGAGTCTCATTTTGTTGCCCTCAGCAGAGTGCCGCGGCCTCACAGGTCACAGCAACCTCAAACTCTTGGGCTTAAGCTATTCTCTTGCCTCAGCCTTCCAAGTAGCTGGAACTACACGCACCCACCACAATGCCCAGCTATTTTTTGTTGTAGCCGTCATTGTTGTTTGGCAGGTCAGGCTGGATTCAAACCTGTCAGCTCAGGTGTATTTGGCCAGCACCTTAGCCGCTTGCGCCATAGGCGCTGAGCCCAAAGATTGTTTTAATAGTGAAAAACCCACAGAAGTTTCAATGGAGACAGCGCCGTTAGAATTCAAAGTCTTCGCCAGCCATGTTGAACGCCCAGGCAAACTTCTCCCTCTGGGTTTTGTTGTAGATCTTCTCTATGGGCACCCCGAACCTCTTACACCTGAGGAGAGGATAGCATCAGCCTGCAGGCCAGCAGCTCACCCCCTCAAAGACCCAGGTGCTCAGAAGAGAGCAGAGGCTAAAGGTGCGACCCCAGCTGGCTCCTCCAGGAACCCCAGGGTATTGGGGAGGCATCAGAGACTGTAGCTGGTACCTAGGTGTCGGCTGAGTGGGGCCCTTGGGGTGCAGACCTGGCTACTCTCAACTCCAGGTGGGGGGTGAGCACTATGTCCTAGGCTGTGGGTCCTGCCCCAGCCTCACCTTCTCCATCCCAAAGCTTAGGGAAGGGAGGAGAGATGAACAGGACTCAGCCCTGTCATGAGAAGGACATGTGCTGAGTACTGAGGCCACACGGGACACGGGGTTCCGGCGAGACTGTACTGCGGCCCCTATTGGGCTATGGGTGAGAACCATAATGGCAGCCACGCACCAGGCGATGCTGATTCTGGGGTCCAGGTAGTTGAGCTTGGACGTTCCCAAGGCCACCTGCTTGTTCTCCTCCCTGGCCGTGGCCTGTGCACTCAGCCTTGCCAGCTGCTCCTGCAGCTTCTCCAGAGACCGCCTCTTCTTTTCTAGAACACTGGCAAAACAAGACAAGGCCTCTGGTCCCCACACCATGGTGGGAGGGCAAAGGGCAAGCCCCTGGGAGACTCGCACCCGCCCTGCCCCCGCTGCCACCCCCTGGGATGCCACCCTGCCCCCACCTCCAGTCATCACTGCAGGACATGAGGACAGCAATAGGGATCCAGGGTCAGAACTGGGGAAGCAGCCCACCCCCGACCCTGCCCCAGGAGCCAGATCAGGCACTGCCTGAGCCAGAGGCTCTTGGTGGCAGGGGAGGTGACCCACCCAGGCCTGGCATCACACACAGAAAGGCACAAGGTCCAAAAACGTTCTGGAAATGACAAAGGCTGATAACCACATGGAACAAGGGCCAAAGGACGTGAAAATAAACAAATGCTTGTTGGCATCTAGGAAGACCCCTCCTTCTACCTTCTTAAAGAAAAGCAAATTTAAAGAGGCAGAGGTCCTTGTCTCATCTGTATCTCACCCAGCCACAGCCATGACATCACCAATGTACATGACCTTCACCCCAATCCTTCTTCCAGGAATTTTGCTACAAATATACTTGAGCATGTGTGCAAAGACACATGCGCATGAGGAAATGCTGCCAGGAAAGGGGTCTGAAACAGAGGCCGTGGGAAGTGACACCCTCCAAAGGTATAAGGGTGTCAGCTACATTCCCAGGCACAGACAGAAGACAGTGGCCAAGGCTGAGCTGCCTGTCCCTGCCAACCACTGGGACAGGGAAAGAGAGGAGCGTGGGCCTGTAGGTGCAGCGAAGCATTTCTGGAGGACATGCAAGATACTTCACGGTGGCTACCTCAGGGGAACTGGAGATCAGGGTGGGGACAGCCTTATTTTCCACTGAATACCCTTTATCTAAATTGCTTGACACCTTTCTCACTCTCTCACCACTGTTAAAAACATCCCTCTGAGGCTCATGGCCGATAGCTCAGCAGCTAGGCCGCCAGATAGACAGACCCGAGCTGGCAGGTTCAACCCCAGCCTGGGCCTGCCAAATAACACTGACAACTACAACCTAATAGCCAGGCATTGTGGAGGGCGCCTGTAGTCCCAGCTACTTGGGAGACTGAGGCAAGAGAATCGCTTAAGCTCAAGAGTTTAAGGTTGCTGTGAGCTGTGATGCCACAGCACTCTACCCAGGGTGACATAGTGAGACTGTCTCAAAAAAAAAAAAACAAAAACAAAAAATCCCTCTGCACCTCAGTACATGTATCAGGAAGAGAGAATTTTACCCACAGCAATCAGGAGAGAAAGAAGGAGCATCTCAGGAATGCTATGAACAATTAACTACACACCAGTAAATTAAAGGGCCTAGTGTCCTGAAATGGGTGAGTTCCTAGAAAGACACAAACTACTGAACTACAAAACTGACTCAAGAAGAAATAGCGGCCTAGCACAGCGGCCATGCCTGTGAGGTCTCCCAGCACTCTGGGAGGCCGAGGCAGGTGGATTGCTTGAGCTCAGGAGCTTGAGACCAGCCTGAGCAAGAGCAAGACCCTGTCTCTAAAAACAATTTTAAAAACTAGCAGTGGGTGATAGAGAGTCCTGTAGTCTCAGCTACTCAGGAGGCTAAGGCAGGAGGGTTGCTGGAGTCCAGGAGCTTGAGGTTGCTGTGAGCCATGACACCCCTGCACTCCAAGCCCAGGCAAAAGAGTGAGAACTTGCCTCAAAAAAATAAAATACTGGCTCGGCGCCTATAGCTCAACTGGCTAAGGCGCCAGCCACGTACACCTAAGGTGGCGGGTTTGAATCCCCAGCCCGGGCCCACCAAACAACAATGACGGCTGCAACCAAAAAATAGCCGGGCGTTGTGGCGGGCACCTGTGGTCCCAGCTACTTGGGAGGCGGAGGCAGGAGACTTGCTTGAGCCCAGGAGTTGGAGGTTGCTGTGAGCTGTAATGCCACGGCACTCTACCCAGGGGGACAGCTTGAGGCTCTGTCTCAAAAAAAAAAAATAAAATACTTAAGAATAAATTCAACCCCAAATGGGCAAAATTTTACTATAAAAACTACAAAACTTTGTTCCAAGAAATTAAAGACAACCTAAGTTATAGAAAGATTGTTTACAGACTCAGCATCATAAATATGGCAATGTGATCATAGACTCAGTGCAATCACCATCAGAATCCCAGCTGGCTTCTTTGCAGAAATTAACAAACTGATCCTAAAATTCATCTGGAATTTCAAAGGATCCCAAGTAGCCAAAACAAATTTTTTTTGAGATAGAGTCTGACTCTGTTGCCCCAGGCTGGAGTGCAGTGGCGTCAGTCTAGCTCACAGTAGCCAAACTCTCCTAGACTAAAGCCATCCTCCCACCTCAGCTTCTGGAGTAGCTGGGAGGACAGACACTTGCAATGATACCTATTTTTAGTAGAGATGGGGTCTCAGTTTACTCCAGCTAGTCTAAAACTCCTGAGCTCAGGCAATCCACCCACCTCAGCCTCTCAGGGTGCTAGGATTATAGGCATGAGCCACTGTGCCCAGCCCCAAAACAATCTTTAAAGAGAAAAATAAAATCGGAGAGCTCACACTTCCTGAGACATCTGGTCAGCCACATGCTGAGAATGATGTCAGATCATTCCCTCCAACCACACACAAAAATTAACTCAAGGCTCAGCAAGAATCAACTCAATAGCTCAGTGAGTAGGGTGCTGGCCATGTACACCAAGGCTGATGAGTTCGAGCCTGGCCCAGGCCTGCTAAAACAGCAATGACAATTACAACAATAACAACAAAAAGTAGCTGGGCATTGTGGCAAGTGCCTGTAGTCCCACCTACTTGGGATGCTGAGGCAAGAGAATCGCTTAAGCCCAAGAGTTTGAGGTTGTTGTGAGCAGTGAAACCACAGCACTCTACTGAGGGCAACATAGTGAGACTATGTCTCAAAAAAAAAAAAAATTAACTAAAAATGAAATATAAGAGCCAAAACAATAAACCTCTCAGAAGGGAACTTAGAATCTATCTCCATGACCTTGGGTTAGGCAAAGCCTTCTTAGATAGACATAACAACAAAAGAACTGACAAAAAATCTTGACTAATCGAAATTTTAAAAATGTGTGCTTCAAAGGACACCACCAAGAAACTAAGGACAACCAAAAGAATGGGAAAAAATATTTGCAAATCATATATTCGATAAGGGACTTGTATCCAGAATAAGGAGTGCTCACAGCTCAACAATAAAGACAGACAACCCAGCCAAAAACTGACAAAGGGCAGGAGCAGGTGTTTCTCCAAAGACATGCAGATGGCCAATAAGCACCCAGAATGGTGCAAAACATCATTAGTCCTCAACCATCAGGGAGATGCAAGCCACAAGCTCGATGAGATGCCCTTTACCGGTCAGGCTGAAGGGCAGGACGACGAGGGTGGGTGGGGCGATGAGGGTGGGTGGGGCGACGAGGGTGGGTGGGGCGATGAGGGTGGGTGGGGCGATGGTGTGGGCGGAGCGTAGGGATCAGACTGAGCCTAGAGTCACCAAGTGACCCAGCATTCCTTCCCTGAAGATACCAAAGGGAAACACAGGCACACTCATGTGGATAGTGGCACGACTCAGTGCGGCCAAAAGGTGCAAACAACCAGAGTATCCACGGAGGGATGACAGGGTACACAAGCATGGGCCATCGGTACAATGAAAAGGAATGAACTTCTGAGAGATGCTGGACGTTAAGTGAGCCTGGAAGCCTCCTACTGTGCGAGAGAAGCCAGACACAAAAGGCCAATACCAGCACCCACTTCTATGAAAGGCCCTGAGCAGATGAGTAAGAGACAAGGAAGTGGGTCAATGAGGCTCAGCACTTGTAGCCCAGTGGTTAGGGCACTGGCCACATACACCAGGGCTGGTGGTTCAAACCCAGCCTGGACCAGCTAAATAACAATAACAACTGCAACAAAAAAATAGCCAGGCTTTGTGGTGGGTGCCTATAGTCCCAGCTACTTGGGAGGCTGAGGCAAGAGAATCATTTCAGCCCAGAAGTTTGAGGTTGCTGTGAGCTGTGACACCACGGCAGCTCGTGAGCCCTGTGCCATGCTGCCCTCCATCGTTGCAGGGGTGTCTCCTTACCTGGCTCCCCATCTCACAATTTTCCACAAGTTCTATAGTTAATATTTTCATAAATTGCAATGGAATAATCAAAAAAGTAAACAAAATTGGCCAAAGGAAAGCTGAAGTCCAAGGCTAACCATACAGGCTTGGACAGGCTAGCCCCCAGGAGACACATGATTAAGAGCTACCACACTCACCTCCTGGACTTGCCATCCCCTTTGATTTCCGAGTCAGCCTTCGCCCTCCTCAGCTCCACCATGGCCTCAGCCACCTGCTCCTTCTTTACCTTGATCTGCAAAGGAAGGAAGCTCAGTCAAGGCTGCTTCTGTCCCCACCCCCCACATGGTGAAGCCAAGAGGCCTCTAGACCCCAAAGGTACAGCCTGCTCTAGCCACAGATAATAGGTCCAGCGCCCTGAGGGCCCCCCGCTCTGCTGACATCCTTCCTGGACTAGAACACAGGGGCCATGTCCCTCCAGGAGACTCCACCGCCTGCCAGGGACCTGGCCCGAGGCAGCCTGCCTCACCTCCCACCAGCCTCCAGGGAGCACCTCTGTCTCTAAAGAATCCTCCTCACCCACCTACGGGTTTGTCTGGACTCATGGGAGTATAGGGGGTTGGGGGTGGCGAGCTGGGCCAGGCAGGAGCTGTGCGGGGCTCTGCTGTGAGCCACACACCTTTGTTTGCAGATTCTGCATCGACTTCTCAAAGGTCTTAGGAGCTGCTCGCTGATGGTTGCAGAGAATGGCCACGGCACGGTTGGCACGGTTGTAAGATAAGATCTTTGCTGCTACACTATCTTCAGCTGAGCAAAGACGTGACAGCTGTCACACACACTCTCTCTGAGCCCGCCTTTCTCAGTGTGTCACAAGTTGGAGCCCCTTCCACTGGCACAGGACCTTTCTAGGAGGGTGGCTGAGGTGGAGGCCCTATCCAAGGTAGCCCCCCAGGCCAGGGACCAGCCCAGTCCAATCACAGTAGCACTGTCTCAGGGCAGGGAAAGTGCCCAGGAGCCAAACAATGTCCTCAGGGCATCCCCATGCTCCCCCAGCCATCTGTGCCCAGCAGTCTGGTCACGAGTCCTGGTGATAATACACAGGGCCCTGACCAGGAAACCATGTTTCACATGACACCTGGTTTCACGTAACACTGTCCCTTAAGGGACCATCATTTCCATTTTCCAAACAGGAAACTGAAGCTCAGAGAACTTACCCCCTGCCCCATCACCTGTCCAGGGGCCCCTCATCTCCACACTCCTCCAGCCCCCGCCAGTCACAGACAGGCAGTCACACCCCACCCCACCTTCAGTTTCTCTCCTAGGCCAGACCTTGCCCCACATCCCCAGGCTCTCCTGCCTCCTGCAGATGGATTCTCTGCTGGGGACTCCCCCACCTGGAGCCAGCAAGCTCCCCCACATCCCCACAGCCCAGTCCTGTGCTCTGGAACCTGCCCTGATGTGATCTCAGCTCCCTGACAGCGTCCCCAGGGCAGCAGTAGTACACAGTCGCGCACGCGCACACACACACTCACACACACACACACACACGAAACCTGGTTGTCTGCCCATCCAGGGCTGCCAGCATGCATTAAGGACCCGGACCAGCCCTCCTGGAGGAAGCTCCTGTTCAACAGTCGGGTGGGCAGAGGGGAGACCACACCCAGGCTGGGATCAGAGGGCCCAAAGCTGAAAGGGGCTGGGGAACAGGCCCAGAGGCCCAAGGCAGGGGGGAGCTGAGTAGTGGGACAGCAGGGGCAGAAGTTGCTGCAAAGTATGAGGCTGCTGGACCCTGAGGAGCAGGGTTGAGGGCTGCCCTGCTGGGAGCACACCTGAAGACACTGGTCCTATAGGCCACCACATCCACAGCCGAGCCCTGTTCTGCTCGGGCAGGGCCTGAGCCCCTGATACAAGCAGCACCTCCCTCACCCAACCCCGCACATTCCCCAGAGCAGGGTCCTGCCCCTCCATCAGCAAGTGGTTCGTACCAGCAGCCCTGCGGGTGCCGAGACATGCTCCCCAGCACCTGGCACGCTGCCTGGGGCACTCACCACGTGTCAGTGCCCGCAGCTGCCCCTGAAGAGTGATGGAGGCATTGTAGGTCCGGAACACCTTGGCCGTCAGCCCGTCCATCAGGTCCTGAAGATGTCTGTTGAGGCTGGCCGTCTGTGTGGTGGGAGGAAATGGGTCCCTGTAAGCTCAGTTTCACTGAGAACATCACTTTGGTTCCCTTCCTTCCCAGCCTCCCACAAGACAATGGAGAGGAGTTAGCTGGAAAGTCAAAGCCAGCTGGGCCTTGCTGTGAACAAGCTGAGCGGACTCGGCACTCCTGCCCTCTCTGGGCCCTGCCACCACCACTGCCAGTGGGAATGCACACAGGCTCACAGTCAGTCCGTCAAAGAGCTTGTCTTCAGGCTCCTTGTGGTCCATGAACAGCTGCAGGTTCTCATATACCTGAAACAGGAAGAACGTTAGTCCTAGAGAACTGTGCAGAAACGGCATGCAAGACAGAAGGCAAGAGAAGCTTCTGGCTCGGTGCCTGTGGCTCAAGTGGCTAAGGCGCCAGCCACATACACCTAAGGTGGCGGGTTCGAATCCAGCCCGGACCCGCCAAAACAACAATTACAGCTGCAACCAAAAAATGGCCAGGTGTTGTGGCGGGTACCTGTGGTCCCAGCTCCTTGGGAGGCTGAGGCAGGAGACTCGCTTGAGCCCAGGAGTTAGAGGTTGCTGTGAGCCGTGATGCCACAGCACTCTACCCAGGGGGACAGCTTGAGGCTCTGTCTCAAAAAAAAAAAAGAGAGAGAGAGAAGCTTCTGAGGACAAGAAGAATTAAATTAGGACCTGAGGAGGTGTCTGCACAATTGCAGCCTGGAAGCTGCAGTCAGCATTCCCTGAGGAAGGTGCTCTAAGCACTCCAGCTCTACCTGCCTGGCGGCCAGCAGCATCTTTACTTCACTCACCCTGGCTGCCCGTGCAGTCGCTCACCACTAAGGCACTCACTACCCATATGTTTGGGAGGCAGAATGTGGCTCCTGCCACCCTGCAAACCCACCGACATGAGCCTTTCACCAGGTCACCACAAGTCCCAGGCCCCCATCACAGACCCACCATGGGAGGCCCTGCACCCTCACTTTGATTCCCCACCTGCCAATGGCATTAGGCCCAGTGAGCCCAGTCCTGCAGACTCCCACAGGGAATGACAACTACAACCAAAAAATAGCTGGGCGTTGTGGAGGGTGCCTGTCATCCTAGCTACTTTGGAGGCTGAGGCAAGAGAATTGCTTAAGCCCAGGAGTTGGAGATTGCTGTGAGCTGTGACACCACAGCACTCTACAAGGGTGACATGGTGAGACTCTGTCTCAAAAAATATAGGAAAAAAAAAATGTCTGCCGTTTTAAACCACTCCGTATGTGGCACCTTGTGAGGGCATCCCCAGGAACTTGCCTGCCAGGTGAGTCAGAGATGCTGGGGGGGTCCTGGTTCAGCCCCCTCCTTGTCTGGGTTAACACCCAGCATCTACCATAGCCAGGCACCCTGAAGAGCCACAGGGTGCACCACAGGCCTTGCCCTGCAGACTTGGCAAATAGGCCCTAAGGCCAGGTAGAGCCCCCACCTCCCGTGAGAACACCCAGCAGGTCCTCACCGGCCCCTCCACCGGCACTCGGTTGTAGTAGCGGATTGCGTCCTTCCCCAGGAAGTCAAACTCCACAACGTACTTGTGGCCATCGGCCTCCGGGTGCAGCCGGACATGTCGCACACGGAGGGAACAGCAGCCTGCAGTGTCGGCCACCTCGCCTTCCTCCTTCCTGCTCCCTGCTCTCAGTGCCAGCTGGTGGGGGGAAGCCAGGACACATGCACACACCCAGCACAACACCTGTGTGCACACACATACACATCCCACACAGCCCAGCGCCACCCCTAACCTGTCCAGCCAGGAGAACCTCGGCAGACGAACAGCGCTGAGAAAGGCATGGGCAAACCAGCGAACCTTGTCGATGAGGTAAAGGGCCACGGCCCTCTGTCGGGTCCTCATTCCTCCTGATCTCCAGTCTGCCTGGTATTGGGAGCGGATCTCAGCCACAACCCCTTTCAAGCGTCGAGCTGTCTCATACTTTTGCCAATCTTTTTCTCCCTAAATACAGAAAATAAATATTAAAGAAACTCTTCATATTTCTGTTAAGTAACAGAGAATCTGTGACTCCTCTCCCCCACCTCACAAATCTATGCTCTGTGCTTGTGGGACCAGAGGCTAGGGACGCCAAGCCTACTTCACGTGAAATCTGCCGTGCATGTGAATGCACAAACATTCCTGGTTTCAAGATGCATGATCGCTAGGCACAGCGAGATCTCAACACTGGTGGGTTGCTCCTGGCCAGTCTAGAGGCTGCAGGATGCCGGGCCTCTCCAGCCCCCCCTCCCCCCCCCCGCAGAGGCCCAGCACTGCATCCTGCAGGGAAAACACCTTAAAGCCTCATCCTCACCCTTAGCTTTGAATTTGGGTTCAGCGTGATGTACTTGATGGAGCTCTGGACGTTCTCTGTCCATGAGGCCAGCCACGTGACAGTATTATCAGTGCGCACCTCTTTCCACTGGTGACCTGTCGGTGGCTCAGGAATCTTTGAGTCTCTGTGGCAAAACAGAGACCCAAACCTAACTTCAAGACTTTGTTCTCTGAAACACAAGAAAGGGGGTGTCTCCGGACCACTGTCCCACATGGCCACATGGCAGGGGCAGGGCTCCTGATGGAGACTGGCCTCAGGAGTGGCGTGCTGGGCAGCCTGGACCACTGCAGCCACCCAGCCCGCCTTCTGCACACACACAGAAAGACCAGGAAGCTGGTCACCCAGCCAGGTGTCCACTCTGTAACTCAGATCAACAGGTCACAGTGCTGCCTGGGGTTGCTCTGGTGCGGCTGCTCCTGGACGCTCTGGTCACACAGGCCTGAAGTAACATGGCACCACCCAGGACTGAGCATTCCCCTCTCCCACTGCACTACTGGGATAACATGGGATGTGAGAAAACATGCAGGAGAACTTTCTTGGTGGGGAAAATCTCCGCCCCGGAAAGTGAGTAGGATGTCTGGTCACAGCCTCCCTACATGGATAGCCCGGGCCCCACCTGTGCTGAGCACTGCTCCCAGATCACATAGGACTAGCACTTGGGGTTGCCAGCCCCACACTTTTTGCTGTGCTTCACTCTCTCAGGAGAGTGAAGGAACAAAGACAGCCTCACCCAGGCGGCCGAAATGCACCCTAGCTGGCCACACCTGCTGCAGTTGATGACCACATCCTCCGGCAGGACCCTCTTCTTCACCATCCCCATCTTGGGGTGGTCACCACGGCCCCGGAACAACCCAGGTGGCTCTGTCTTGAAATTGCCAATCTTTTCTCGGTGACCATCTAAAATACAGTAGCCAAACTCTTGCTGAAGTTTCTCTGCTGCTTCCTTTAGCTTCTGAGTTCAAGAACAGTACATGGATGTTATGGGGAAGAGAAAAGCACAAAGGTCAGTCCCCGGTAGCCAGATTCAGCCCTGCCTTTGCTAACATGGCCACACTCCTCAGGGCTTCAGTGCCCTCTGAGTCTAGGGGGCAACACAGCCAGCACTGCCCTGCACAGCCTCAGCTGCACCAGACACTCAAGGTAAAGCCAGGCAGAGGTGGGTGGGAGGAAGGCTAAGAGGGGCTCCGAGTACGCCTGTGTTCCTCTGTAACCACTGACTGAGGAGGGATGACCCTTCCCTAGGAGGGCCCAGAGGTCAGCACCAGGGACCACAGCACATAGCCTGTGATACTTGGAGCAGGACGGCAGCTCCCTGCCCAAGTCCTTGGCCCATGGGCCTCCCAGGCTGCCATCACTGACCGTGAATTATTTGCCCACCATCCCCAACAGTGTACTTTCTTTTTTCTTTTTTTTTTGGAGACAGTCTCACTATGTCACCCTTGGTAGAGTGCCGTAGCATCACCGCTCACAGCAACCTCCAACTCTTGGGCTTAAGTGATTCTCTTGCCTCAACCTCCCAAGTAGCTGGGATTATAGGCACCTGCCACAATGCCCAACTGTTTTTTGGTTGCAATTGTCATTGTTGCTTAGCAGGCCAGGCCGAGCTCAAACCTGCCAGCTTCAGTGTATGTGGCTGGTGCTAAGCTATGAGCTATAGTGCCAAGCCCAGTGCACTTATTTTTAACGTGCTGTGGGTGGGCCGACCGACATGTTAAACATGCTGAGAGGCACATCAACTCAATAGCGCCCAAGAACCGCGTGATACCATGTCACTAGATTGTGACCACACCTTCCCAGGACGCTCATGAGAAAGAACCTGGCAAGGGGAGGTCCTGTGAGAAGAGGCTTCTGTAAGGGGAGGGGACTTCTCTCAGGACTGGGCCAGGCTGGCCTTATCCCAGGCCATTCTCACACACCCGCCACTGTGGTCATTATGCCCAGGGCAGCTGACCTGCTTCTCCTCCCTGGGCAGAGCCTTCCGGGCTACAGCTTTGTCCGCAAAGTATCTGTGGATCTCAGTGAAGTCACACTTGTCCAGGCTTGTGATGACTTTCCTCTCTTCTGTTGTCATTTCCTGCACAAATTGGAGAGACTGCTCACGGCTGGCAGAGCACTGACATGCCCCTATGTCATGCACCCTCCACCGCGGGCTACCCACGGGGACAACAGAACACCTGCAGGAGGGGGCAGGCTCGAGGCAGAGTGCCAAGGCCCCCACTGACCAAAGCCAATGGGGCCCTGATGGGCAGGTGCAGAAGTGAGCTGGGGCCCTGACCTGGGAACAGCCCCCTCCCAAGTGCCACGTGGAGAGTGGATGCACTGAGGATTGATGTGTGTTGCTTAAAGAGCAGTATGGTCACCCCCAGCACAGCCCAGCAGAGTCGCAGGCCATGTGTGGCAATCCCCTGAACTCTGCTCTCAGAGAAATGACAGATCCCTGGACACCCCAACCACCACTCTCAAAGTGGGTGCTAGAGTCCACAGCCCTCTCCAGTGAGGCCTCCAGGTCCTAGCCACCCTCCAAGTACAACAGACCAATCATAAGCAACATAGGCCCCTGCCTGTCTCCCACCAGCAGGCCCTGGGTCCATGACTGTAGGGTTGGGGGAGTGTCTAAGGGCACTCTCTGAAAGTATTTCAATAATAAAATGAGGCTCGGTGCCTGTGGCTCAAGTGGCTAAGTTGCCAGCCACATACACCTCAGCTGGCAGGTTCGAATCCAGCCTGGACCCGCCAGACAACAATGAGGGCTGCAACTAAAAAATAGCCAGGTGTTGTGGCGGGCGCCTGTAATCCCAGCTACTAGAGAAGCAGAGGCAGGAGACTCACTTGAGCCCAGGAGTTGGAGGTTGCTGTGAGCTGTGATGCCACAGCAGTCTACCCAGGGTGACAGCTTGAGGCTCTGTCTCAAAAAAATTAATTAATTAAATGAAGAAACCTTTGATCCAATAATTCCACTTTTGAGATTCCACCCTAAATGGATTGTCCAATGTCAAATAATGACAATTACATTAGGGGCAATTTGGAGAAATGAGAATCCTGAAAGTGATAAATAAACTATGGTGGCTCGGCACCTATAGCTCAACCGGCTAAGGCGCCAGCCACGTACACCTAAGGTGGCGGGTTCGAATCCCCAGCCCGGACCCGCCAAAACAACAACGACGGCTGCAACCAAAAAAAAAAATGGCCGGGCGTTGTGGCGGGCGCCTGTGGTCCCAGCTACTTGGGAGGCAGAGGCAGGAGACTCGCTTGAGCCCAGGAGTTGGAGGTTGCTGTGAGCTGTAATGCCACGGCACTCTGCCCAGGGGAACAGCTTGAGGCTCTGTCTCAAAAAAAAAAAAAATAAAAAAAAAAATAAACTATGGTAAACTCATTCAGTCGAACGTAAGAAATTAATAAACCAAATTTCTCAGTCCACGTGTGTTTATCTAACAAAACACCCAGACAAGGTCCCTTATCAATAACAAAAATCCATCTCTTGGCCTGGGGCCTGCAGCACAATGGTTACAGCACCAGCCACATACACTGAGGCTGGAGGGGGTTAGAACCCAGCTGGGCCAGCTAAACAACAACAACTGCAACAAAAAATAGCCGGGTATTGTGGTGGGCACCTATAGTCCCAGCTACCTGGGAGGCTGAGGCAAGAGAATCGCTTCAGCCTAAGAATTGGAGATTGCTGTGAGCTGTGATGCCATAGCACTCTACTGAGGGCAACATGGTGAGACTCTGTCTCAAAAAAAAAAAAAAAAATCAACCTCTCATAGCTCTGCAGGCCACCAAGTCCCAGATCAAGGTCCCAGCATTTGGCGATATCTGGAAAGGGCTGCTATCTGCCTTAACAGTGTCTTTGTGTCTTCACCAGGTTGGGGGGGGCCTGGCTAGTTCATTCCAGCCCCTCAATGGGGGACTCTCTCCCCTGTCACAGTACCGCATTGTGGACTAAGTTTCAGTATGAATTTTGGAGACACAGTCAAACCATAGCAGAGTATGATGATTAACATGGCTAAGCCAGAGTCTTACCTGGGGTCAAAAAAAGCAAAAAAGTATGAATGGGCAACATGGAAAAATAAATATGACAGGGCGGCGCCTGTGGCTCAGTGGGTAGGGTGCTGGCCCCATATACCAAGGGTGGTGGGTTCTAACCCAGCCCAGGCCAAACTGCAACAAAAAAAATGGCCGAGCATTGTAGGGGCGCCTATAGTCCCAGCTACTTGGGAGGCTGAGGCAAGAGAATCGCCTAAGCCCAAGAGCTGGAGGTTGCTGTGAGCTCGGGCCACCACACTCTACTGAGGGTGGCAAAGTGAGACTCTGTCTCTAAAAAAATAAAACTAAAAAAAGTAAACATGATAAAACAGTGAGTGGGGGAAAAACACGATATGCACACTATGCCCAAACTAACATCCATGGAAAGCCAGGCCCTAGGAACGTGAGACACTGACTCCAGGGGAGGATGGCAGGATTACCGGTGACCAGTTTTCTCCTCTTCCCGCACCAAAAAACCTATACAGCCCTGTGGCCAAAATCCAGACTCAGAGCCACCGTCCCACAGCCTCTTAGGCACCATGAGACCTCGCCAACCAACCACCAAGCCCATCTCTCACTGAGGGACTGCAAAGGCAATCCCACCTCCTTCCCTGGGTGGTTCAGGCAGCGCAACAGCTGGGAAGGGTCGGGTCCCTCTGTGGTCCCTCCAGCCTCCATCAGGCCCATCACTCATGGCTTATGTCCCCCTACTGTGCACACTGCCTCCCGTCTCTGTTAATGCTGGCCCGACCAGAACAGCTGGACAATAAGCTCCCCTCACAAAGCCACAGCTGTGACCCAGCAATCTCTAAGTCCAGTGAAGGGTGACTCATGTGCCTATACCCTGACCCACGTGGGAATATTCCCCACATCTTTACACGTGAAAGCCAAAAAGTGGAAACAATCTAATGCCCATGATTAGGAACAAGGACAAATTGTACAATCAAACAACAGAAATACTATATCCAACAACGGCCAGGCAGCTGCTGCTGAAACAAACACCTGAGGCCCAACCTTGCAGGATTCACACCAAGAGACACCCTGGGCAGGTGCACGGGGTGTCACACGGATCTATGCACATAAAGCTAATCGAACCGTACCCAAAGAGCATTCCAGGCTCACGTGGAACTCAACTTTTAAAAATGGAAAGGAGGCTCGGCGCCTATAGCTCAACCGGCTAAGGCGCCAGCCACATACACCTAAGGTGGCGGGTTCGAATCCCCAGCCCAGGCCCACCAAACAACAATGACGGCTGCAACCAAAAAATAGCCGGGCGTTGTGGCGGGCGCCTGTGGTCCCAGCTACTTGGGAGGTGGGGGGAGGAGACTCACTTGAGCCCAGGAGTTGGAGGTTGCTGTGAGCTGTAATGCCATGGCACTCTACCCAGGGGGATAGCTTGAGGCTCTGTCTCAAAAAAATAAAAATAAATAAAAATAAAAATAAAAATGGAAAGGAAAAAATCCTTAACATGGCACTATTATCTTCAAAGAACTTCCCACATAACATCTGTCTTCCTAGGGGCTGGAAGACCACTGTGGCCTCCTCCCCCACCTTCTCCTGAGAGCCAGAGCCCATATAATGTCCTGGAGCAAGGTCACAGCAAGCCTGGCTTTGTGCTTTGCCTGGCCGGGCAGGAACCAGTCAGGGGCCATGGCAGCATCTGCAGTCCCAGCCATTCAGAGGCTGAGGTGGGAGGATCACCTGAGGCCTGGACCTCAAGGCTATAGCAGCCTATGATTGACTATGATTGCTCAACTGTGAGTGGCCACTGCCCTGCAACCTGGGCCACAGAGTGAAACCCATCTGTAGAAAATATAACACAAAGCAGTACCAGGCTGTACTGAGAAGACACAGGGCCACCTAGAGCATACACAGGCTGCCCAAGGGGAGTGGGAGTGGGCAGACAATGGCACCGTGGCCTACAGGGCCTGGCCAGCCTAGTCCATGGCACATACCTTTTGCCAATCGCTGAAGAAATTATTTTGGAAAACTTCCTTTGTTGTATATTCATGATCCAATATTTTTCCATAAAAAGTGGCAACCTCCTCAGCTGCCAGGCTCAATTTCAAAGGTTTTCCTGAAGACAGCAAAAGACACTGATTTAGGGAGCCAGCAGACACAGCTGTGATTCTATTATGCACTATTCTGTGCTAATAGCTGGAAGCCAGGTCTGCATCTTTTAAGTTCAGAAGCATGTTCTAAGTTATAGGTGATCAATGCAGGTGAAGGCCACGGGCACACAAGTAGGTCCTGGCAGCACTGCAGGCTTCAGCCAGAGGCATTCACACTGCCTCACATTTATTTTACCACATTATATAAAAATGCAACAACATGTACAATTTTAAAGCACGGCAATAATTTCTGCATAATTACAGAAGCAAAATAAAAATTAAGGCATCAGAGAAGAAAACCACCAATGTCTGTAGGGAACCTTTTGGAAATTTTCCTCTCTGCATGATCATTTCCTACCTTCATTGTACATCAGCACGATTTAAAGAGATGGGTGGGGACTGAGCAGGCAGAATGCTCATGGCAGGGCGAGAAGCCATGCACAGGAAACTTTTTCAAATGTATGCTTAAAAGCCATTCATGGCTCTGTGCTTGTAGCTCAAGCAGTTAGGGCACTAGCCACATACACCAGAGCTGGTGGGTTGGGATCCAGCCCAGAGCTGCCAAACAACAATGACAACTACAACCAAAAAATAAAATATCCAGGTGTTGTGCAGGCACCTATAGTCCCAGCTACTTGGGAGGCTGAGGCAAGAGACTCACTTAAACCCAAGAGTTGGAAGTTGCTGTGAGCTGTGACGCCACAGCACTCTACCCAAGGCAACAGCCTGAGACTCTGTCTCAAAAAAAAAAAAAGAAACACAAGCTGGGGTCAAGCAGCCATTCATGTGTGTGTGCTGAGTGCCACGTGTAAACTGCACACACACTGCTGAGGGCCGTGTGTAAACTGCACACAGTGCACACAGAGAACAGAGGGCTTGCCCAGGAGTCAGCCCTGCACACAGACCTGCACAGCCTCAGCCTCCCAAGAGCTGCCAAGCACAGCAGAACAGGGGGATGGCACAACCTCCCAGCAGAGTGCCACAGCAGCCTGGCACGCCCTGCTGTTTCTGGGGTGCCAGTAGAGCCCCATGCTGCTGCTGCCCTGTGTGCTTTCAATTTCAGGTGGAGGAGCAGCCTCCACATAGCCCCACAAGAGGGCAGTGCACCTTCTGTGTACCTGGTGCCAACACGGGAGCCCACCCAAGGATAGACGGGAAGCCACAGCCCAGGGCAGGTGGCTCCTCATGTCCTCACCATCATAGAGGAAACGAACTTCATCTGGAAGGGGCTCGTATGGAGGGGTGAAGTGCGGGCCCCTGTGCTCCAGCTGCGACCACTGCACCCTGCCTGTGCTCTTCTCATCCCACCTAAAAAGACACAAGACCAGAACCTGTCACTCCCACAGGTGTTGATGCCACGGGCCAGGCTCTGGCCTGAGGCTGTCCTGCTTCCCCTGCCCTGGCTCCTCTGAGTGGCTCCTGGCAGGGGAGCCAGATGGTACACTTAAAGAGCTGGGCAAGAGGCAGGTGGCCACCCTGCCAGGACTGTCAGCCAGGATTCAAACCTACCTGAGCTCAGACCCCCGTTCCAGGGCCCTGTTCACTGAACACCACCTCCCTACCTGAACTGGCCAGGTGTGCTGCTGCATCACAATTCAGGTGAGCTCAGCTGGTGGGAAAGGGGGAGGAATGCTCCTCTCCCAGGCTCTAGGGCAGTGGTTCTCAACCTTCCTAATGCCATGCCCTTTAATACAGTTCCTGTGGGTTGCGACCCACAGGTTTAAAACCGCTGCTCTAGGGTCTCTCCCCAGTCAGGCCCCTTCAGAACTAGCCTAGAATTCTCCAGAACATCTCGATAGGGTCCCATAGAACCTCTCCATATGACTGTTTCATTTCCTAAATTCAGGGCCTTGCTGTGCGCTGGAGAAAGAGCTCAGAGTCTAGAGGGGAGACAGGCAAGACATGGCACAAGTGGGGGCACGTGACTGCGGCCCCCAGAGAGTGCGGCTCGGAGCCCCACGGAGCTCTGGGGAAGGGCTCCTCAGTGGCTATGGGCACCACCAGTCAGGCACCAGCACAACACTCCCTTGTCCCAATCTGTCCCCAGATCTTCTGGCGGTAGGCCCCTCCTCCCCAGGGCATGCCCTCCCAGGCAAGCCTGGCCCTGGAGGCTAACTCTCCATGTGAATGCTCATCATCCACCCATCTGGGCCTCAGAGGTCTCCCAAGGGTCTGCCCTGAACCAGTGCTGCACTAGGTCTTGAGGACACGGCTGAACTCAGATACTGAGATGTGCCTGGCAGAAGAGAAAGTAGGATGGGGCTCAGCTGGCAGTGGTGTGGGCAGGGCTCTCTTCCCTTAAGGCTCAGCTCTGTCAACCGAACTCCAAGAAGAGCAAGGCCAGCACACAAGACAGCACTGCAATGGCATCAGTGACAGAGGCTTTGGTAGGAGGTCAGAGCCACCAGGTGAGAGGGGGTGGTAGGCACACACCCCCAGAGATGCGAGAAAATCAGTGGCCTGCCCAGACCCACATCAGGTTTACCAGAGCCAAGACCCCACATTCAACCAAAGTCCAGGCAGCGCCACACCCCACCTCTGGGCTGGTCACTTGGATGAGTGTTCTAAGATTAGCAGAATCTCTGAAGGGCTAAAGGGATTGTAGGCAGCCAGGCAGAGATTTCTGAAAGGGCTCTGGCTATCTCAGCAGAGGAAGGACCCAGCAGGGTCAGAAGGGAGGGGATGTGGGAGGAGCTGATAACCAGGGAGAAGAGGATGGGTTTAAGAACACCCTAGGGTGGAACCAAGAGGCTGAGGTGACTGAATGCTGCTGTGTGCAGAGGGTGAGGGATGGGAAGGGGCCACAGCAGTGGTGGCTTGGACACTGCCGGCCTTAGGCCTTGCTTTGCAGACACTCCGAGCTGCCCAAATCTGGAAACTTGGAGGGTGGGGGGAGGGAAGGAGGGCGTTTTTGTAGATTATGAGAACTGCCCCATCTCCTTTACTACTTCATGGTTTTAGGACCTTCAATAACCACCCCATCCCCACCCTATCTCATATATCTAAGGTGGAGCTGATAGCAGTGCTACTAAGAACCAAAACTAAGACAGTGTATATTTTTTTAAGCGGCTGGGTTTCTCTCACAGAGGTTAAAAAGCAGTGGTGCAATTACAACTCACTGCAGCGTCAAACTCCTGGGTTCAAGCAATCCTCCCACCTCTGTCTCCCAGGTAGCTGGGACTCCAGGTGTGTGCCACCACACCTGGCCAACTTCTCATTGAATCGAAGTAAGATGCATTCCAGTTTTAGATGTGAGAAAGTGTGTAAACACCTACTCCTTTGAACTGACTGACAAAACCCTGACTGCCAAGTTCTTCTCCAGGGCCTCCAGGGAGAAGCATACAATCATCCCCTCTTCACAGATGAGGGCAGTGAAGTTGAGGTTAAAGAACTGCTGACCCGGCTCAGCGCCTATAGCTCAACTGGCTAAGGCGCCAGCCACGTACACCTAAGGTGGCAGGTTCGAATCCCCAGCCCGGACCTGCCAAACAACAATGACAGCTGCAACCAAAAAATAGCCGAGCCTTGTGGCGGGCGCCTGTGGTCCCAGCTACTTGGGAGGCGGAGGCAGGAGACTTGCTTGAGCCCAGGAGTTGGAGGTTGCTGTGAGCTGTAATGCCACGGCACTCTACCCAGGGGGACAGCTTGAGGCTCTGTCTCAAAAAAAAAAAAAAAAAAGAACTGCTGACCCGTTCCACACCCATAGCACAGTGGTTATGATGCCAGCCACATACACTGAAGCTGGTGGGTTCGAATCCAGCCCAGGCCTGCTAAACAACAATGACAACTGCAAAAAAAATAGCTGGGTGTTGTGGCGAGTGCCTATAGTCCTACAACTTGGAGGCTGAGACGAGAGAACGGCTTAAGCCCAAGAGTTTGAGGTTGTTGTGAGCTGTGATGCCACAGCATGCTACCGAGGGCGACATAGTAAGACTATCTTAAAAAAAAAAAAAAAGAAAAGAACTTGCTGGCCAGCAGCACTGTAGAGATGGGTTTGTGCTCAAGTCCACCAAGGCAGGTAGCTGGTGGAGTGCTGCCCATTGTGGTGATGTCCCCCTTCCTTAGAGATCCTGGTATTAAGCGCAGCAACCAGAAGCAGGCAGTTTTCAGAGAGATTCTGCTCCAAATCTACTTATCTACACCCACCCAACTGCAATTCAACAGCTCTTTTTGGAAAGTATGTGTCTGTACAGCTATGAAGAGATGCAGGCTAGCAAAAGGGCCTGCAGGCCAGCCCGGCTCTACATGAGGCCAGACCTCTCTCGTTCCAGGATTCCCTCCCCTGCCCTGCTCTCTTGGGTCCTGAGCTCCAAGCGGCAAACCGGGCAATTCTGCTGTAGAGCCAGGGCAACTGCTGGGGCTCTTGACCGCAGATGAATGATGGCCAGCCTAGGAAGACACCACTCTATAAACAGTACCAGTCAGTAAACAGAACTGGACAATGGCACAGAGAGAGGACTGGGAGAGTAAGCCCACTTCCATGCAGGATCTTTCCAGGAGATGACCTGGGAAACTGAGGACGCAGACTCCAGCAGAGTGGGAGTCTCAGAGGCCCACACACAGCAACATAAGCTTTTCATAAAGTCCAAAACCAGACACTAGAGTTGAGGCCCAGGCACAGCCACAGAAGACATGAAGCTTACTGAACTAAAAAACAAAGCAGAAGGTAACCCAAATGGGGTTGGGGTACCTGGTGAGGTCAGGGCGGGCCTGCACACCCCGGGCAGCAAGTGTTCTAGGGATTCAGGTCATCAGGAACACAGCTACACCTCCGCTACCCAGACTGCCTTTTAGGAAATGTAAGGCCGTCCCACCGGGCCGGGCACCCGCTTCCTAGATCTAACCCAGCCCAGTACTCAGAGCCCGGCTCACCCAGCTGCGCAGTCTTTCTGCGTTCTGCGCCGGCGAGGGGCTCCCCGGGAGACCAGACGGCGGGGAGCGTTTCCGAGCAAAGTGCATGTTGCCCGGAGCCAGGGCCAGGCCAGCACCACGCGCATCTGCCAGCCTCGAGAATCTGACGACACCGGCGTGCTGGCCCCGCCCCAGGCCAAGCCCCGCCCCCGGTGTCACCCCGAGGGCCCCGCCCCAAGGCGAGGTACCGATGGGCCCGGAGCAGGATCAGGGGCCGCGCCGCTGGGCCCCAGCCCTGCTGAAGAACGTGCGCGGCAGGGCCACTTCCGGTCCTGCGGCAGCTGCGAGCTGGGGTCCGGGATCTAGATCCAAATCCTGTCCCCCTGGCCACTCGGCTCAGGGCTGCGTGCCCCGGACGCCCCACAGATCGCTCGACATCCTGGCGCTGCTCGCTCCACAGACCCTCTTGGAATCGCAGGGCAGCTGGCAGGTCCTTCCTTCGCCCGGTCGCGCACTGAGGCTCAGGGCAGCAGCAGCTACCAAGCCGCAGCACTTTCAGAAACCGACAGAGGCCCCTGCGATCCAGCCAGTGCAGCTCCCGGGAGATCCGCAGCACCAGCACTGCTACCAGCCCCTCACCCCCAGACCGCCACAGATCGTGCATTTTGCGGCCTCCTTCCCGGCACTCACGGTACCCGGGATGACTGCTGGCCCGGCCCGGTGTTCCCACTGAGCAGCGCCAAGCTGCAAAACCTCTAGAGCAGCGCTTGGCGGCAGCGCTGGGCAGGCAGCAGGCCAGCCAGCGCCACCATCCGTGGCTGTGCAGCCTCGGTCCGCTGTAAAACGAAGATGCCAGGACTTCGAGAAATAGGTGAGGTCACAGGCATCCTCCTCTCGCTTTGGCGCCTGGCGGGCTGCCGTGGACACAGGGAAGGAAGGAGCCTAGCTGCAGCCCTCAGCGACCCTCCCTGGGCACCAGCCAACTCAGTTTCCACCAGTCTCAAGGCTGCAAGCCACGAGCAGAGGCGAAGGGCTATCTTAGGACCAGCCGGCCTTGCAGGTGCCCTGACATTTCGGAATGAGCAGCTCAGAGGCTGATGGGACCTCCATAAAGGCCCACCTCACACAGATGCTGCTACCAGTTCCTTACAATCCTTTCTACACACCAAGAAGTAAATCCCAGGTGGCGCCAGTACCTCAGGCGTACACTGAGGCTGGCAGGTTCGAGCCCAGCCTGAGCCTCCTAAACAAAAACAACTGCAACCAAAAAATAGCCAGGCATTGTGGCAGGCTCCTGTAGTCCCAGCTATTCAGAAGGCTGAGGCAAGAGGATCACTTAAGCCCAAGAGTTTGAGGGTGCTGTGAGCTGTGATGCCATAGCACTCTACCTAGGGCAACATAGTGAGACTCTGTCTCAAAAAAAGAGTAAATCCCAGCACAGACACACCATTCATTCAACAGGGTCCTGAGCTCAATGTTCCAGCTTTAGCTAAAATCTATTGTGTCAGGACAACAACTGTAAGATCTCTCAATACATGCAGAGACAGCATCTGACAAAACCCAACACCCTTTCATGATAAACAGACAACAAAACAAAACAAAATACCCAGTGAAGAAACTAAGAATAGAACAGAACTTCCCCAACATAAAAGACAACATGCACAGAAGCCCACCACTAGCCTCATGCGCAGTGCTGGAGCAAAAGCTACATACAGCCTTCCCTCGAGATGGGGTCGGAGGCATCACCAGTGCTACTTGGCACTGAACTGGAGGCTCCAGCCAGAGCAAACAGGCAAGGAAATGAAATAAAAGGCGTCAGATCAGAAAGAAAGAAGTAAATTATTTTTGCTTGGAGATGGCACAATCTTATGCACAGAAAATCCCAAGGAATCTACAAAACCTTAAAACTAGTAAATGAATTTAGTGGAGTTGCAGTGGAGTTTGCAAACTGCAAACATCAGTTGTATTTTTTTTTTTTTTTTGCAGCTTTTGGCCAGGGCTGGGTTTTAACCCCCCCCCTCTGGCATATGGGGCCGGTGCCCTACCCCTTTGAGCCACAGGCACCACCCCATCAGTTGTATTTTTAACCAGTAGCAATGAGCAAACTGAAAATGACAATAAGAAAACAGCGTAGCACCTGCAGCTCAGTGGGTAGGGTGCTGGCCCCATATACTGAGGGTGGTGGGTTCGAGCCCAGCCCCAGCCAAACTGCAACAAAGAATGGCCGGGCTTTGCGGCAGGAGCCTGTGGTCCCAGCTACTCAGGAGGGTATCTCAGCTCTGAATGCTGAGGCAGGAAGAGTTACCTAAGCCCAGGAGCTGGAGGTTGCTATGAGCTGTGACGTCACAGCACTCTATTGAGGGCGATAAAGTGAGACTCTGTCTCTAAAAAAAAAAAAAGAAAACAATTCCGTTTATGATATCAAAAAAACCCAAGCAATACATTTAACAAAATACAAAATTTATATACTGTACAATGTTGCTAAAAGAAATTAAAGACACGGGTAGCGCCTGTGGCTCAGTGAGTAGGGTGCCGGCCCCGTATACCAAGGGTGTCAGATTCAAACCCAGCCCCAGCCAAACTGCAACAAAAAAACAGCCGGGTGTTGTGGCGTGTGCCTGTAGTCCCAGCTACTCGGGAGGCTAAGGCAAGACAATCACCTAAACCCAAGAGCTGGAGGTTGCTATGAGCTGTGACGCCCCAGCACTCTACTGAGGGTGACAAAGTGAGACTCTGTCTCTAAAAAAAAGCAAAAGAAAAGAAATTAAAGACAGCCTAAGTAAATGAAAAGCTATCCTGTGTTCTTGGCCTGGAAGACCTTCTGTGCTTAAGACAGTAATACTCCCCAAACTGATCTAAAATGTCAATACAATCCCTACCCAAATCCCAATTGACCTTTTTTTCTTTTCTGGGTTTTTTTTTTTGTGTGTGTGTGTGTGTGTGTGTGTGTGTGTGTG